ACAAATTATAATGGCATAGGCTATATGTAATATAATGGCCTATATTTGTATAGCTGCTTATATTTTCTGATTTTTATGTTCCTCTGTTCTGAATACCTTAAAATTTAAAGGATTTACTGCAATGCAATTTTGTCTGATATGTGAATTATTTATTTGCCTATTAGTATTTTTTTATCCATGCCGCAAACGCTTTAAAAACTGATTTAAAATTACTTTATTGCATTCCAGATACTTTTAAAGAACTTTTCACTATAAATTTTATTGGTAGCTTGAATATAAAACATTGTCATGAATTTGTTGTATTCCCATTTGTAAAATAGCTTAATTAATTGTTGTAGGCTAACCTGATCTCATGATGAAGGTGCTTATAGCTCAATTTTCTGTTATATGTAACACTGTGAACATTGTATAATACTATAAACAATAAAAACGTACAGTATGTCTGCTCTTTGAAAGTAAAACACATACTCAAGCACAGGATTCAGAAAAAAAATATTTAGTGTTGTTTTAGGTGAACAATATCTATATGTATTGCCTGTAAAGTCCATTTATAGCCTTTACACAGCAGCATGTCTCTTTACATGTTTAAAAACCAGCTAATTTCAAGACGCTGACGTCGCGTCTGGTCATCACGTGGGTCACCCGCAGTGTAAGACGCTCAAAGCTCAAGACGTTCGGATAGACGTTCGGTTTGACGTTTGATTTTGGCACGAAGTGCGCGCCATACACACACACACACACACAGAGACGCGTTTCAGACAGAGTTGATTCGTCTTTCGCATCTCCTCCTCATGTTTGAACAGACACATATTAAATTTCTGTACCTGAATACTATTTATTTTATCTATGCTTGCAAATTGTGTATTTGTTCTTATTTTTTTCCCCCGCATATCGAATATCGCATTTTTTAACAAGGTATCGCGTATCGCATTTTTTTTTCAATATCGCACAGCCCTACCAGAAACACTGGTTCAAGAAAGACGCATTTAATTTCTTGAACTTACCATCTCTTACAGCTGCTCCAGACCTTTGACTGTTTTGAGTCAGCCCTGGAAATAAGGATGTACAGAGGCATCCAAAATGTTTTTTGGCCTGGAATATTTGAGTCTTTAGAGCAAAGGTTGATTCCAAGAAATATTTGCTCATGCAGTGCTTTTTTTTTTATTTATTTTTTTTTTTTTTTATA